TGACTTTCCCACACAAGTTCATAAGGGTAAAGGAGCCATTAGGATTAGAGCCAGAAGCAGCATTGTTTGAAGACATCTGAAAGAAGAGAACAAGATTAGTTTAGATATTAAGAGAGTCCTTAATAAAACACCCAAATGTAATATTAAGGCTAGGATCCAATCACAATATATTATAACTTAGAAGAGGTATGCCGTAATCCAAGCTATAACATATTTGAAAGGTAGGTGAATGACGATTCACCAATTTCCACCATGAAAAACGAAATATAAATATTAGGTTTTTAATTGGTTCTTATAAATTCCTAGATTCTTTTGAGATTCAATGAACTTTTCAAAGGCATGTTTCAATCTCGAGTGTGCCCTCCAAGTTTTGTGACTGGGATACCGAGGATCACAAAACGAGGTGTGTGAAGTAACCATGCAAATCACTTGGTACCCTCAAGGTTTATCACTCAATCGATGTGCCGGTAAACCACACACGCTCCACCGATGCTATGGTAAACCTTAAGTCACCCTTTACCTACCTTGTTAAGTCCAAGTTAGTGTGCCGGTTAACCACACACGCTCCACCAACGACTTAAACAAAGTGTAAAGTGTAATTTCATGGATTAGCACCTTATTCACATTTTCCTAAAGTAACTAAGATTGAATTTAATAAAAGCATTTAGTTACTTTATAATATTCATCATACTTTTAATAGAATTTATAAGTCCTTGTCTTACCCGTTCGGCTAACGACCCTCCACCGATCAAGGAAGCGGTGGGTGAGAGTGGACACCCATTAAGTTGCCATTTTATAGGCAACAACCTTATACCCCCCTTATAGACCAGCTTTGTGAATGAGGCGTACTAGCGGTAAGACGACTTGACGTTATACATATATATATTAGTAACTTATAATATTATAAAGTATAAGGGTTGAATTTTAACTTTTAAAATTCTAAGGGTTGGAACTAAAGTTTTAATCAAGACTTTACATGTTCCAAAACTTGAGGGCAAGTTTTGTAAACTTCCAAAACTTTTCATTTCTTATAACTTATGAATTAATTGAGTAATAAAAATGAAGACTCTTCATTTTTATAACTCTTGTGTTCTTTTAATGGCTTTAATAAAAGTGAGACTTTTGGTTTTCCATAACTTGAGGACAAGTTATGGACTCCATTAAAACACATTATGATCATGAATTAAACTACCATGAAGGTTACAAACAATTCCTATGATCATCTAATCTTCATAAGTTCAAGAACATGAATATGAACACTTTCAAGAATCAAAAATTATACTTAAAAAAAACTTGTAATTTAACGATTTTTTTTTCAAGCTGTTTACACACAAAAAAAAAACAACAAAAACCTAGGCTCTGACACCACTGATGGGTTTTGAGCATTCTAACACTTCCTAAGTGTACATGCAACCCTAATAACCTTGGATCTATGTTTGTCTAATAATCATGCAAAGTTGAATTCCAAGGTTATATTCCTATCTAGCATACATGGGGAACATTTTTAACTTGAATGAAAGATAGAATAACTTACGTTGTTGTTGATTATGATCCTTGAAACCTTGTGAGCCTAGCACCCCAAGTGTGATGCCTCAAATGCTTCACACAACACCAAATGCAAAGGAGTAAACTTTGAGAGAATCTTACACTTGCAAAATCGGCTCTAGCCCTCTTGTTTCTTAGTGTAGACAATTTTGGTGGAGAATGAGTTTCTTATATAGTGTTGACACATCTAGGGTTACACCATGTAAACCCTAATGTGTCATGACTCTTCATTTCCATGACCCATGGGTTTGTAACTCCCATGGAGCATCCATGGAGCATCCTATGGGTGGAACCGAACTTGATAATCCATGGAGCCTCTTAGCCCACTATATAAGATATGGAAGATTTACATAATCTACCCATATATTTAATTAGTTATCTTTTGATCACTTAATTAATTCTAAATTAATTCTTGATCAAACTAATTAAATAATATTATTAATATATTAGAACTTATAATATATTAATAAACCATAAGTGTTATTTCTCTCATTTTAGTTTATCCAATTGCATGGTGCCATGCAACCCAAATGGACCATGTCGGGTCGGGTCAAGTACATACCATAAATAGTTATGGACTTAGACACCTTGTCCAACAGGTCTTCCACTCCTTGAACTTACCAAAAACCTCATCATTGGTCTTCAAAAAGTACAACCAAACCTTCCTTGAATAATCATCAATGAATGTCACAAAGTATGAGCATCGTCCTTGAGAGTTCACTGGTGGAGGACCCCACCGATCTGAGTCAACATACTCCAGGGTTTCCTTGCTTGTGTGATGACCAGTACCGAACTTCACTTTGCGATGATTTCCCTTGATGCAAGCTTTATAAAAATTTATCTTTCTAGTAGCCTCTCCACCAAGTAGTCATTGTTTACTTAGAACTGACATGCCCTTCTCACTCATGTCCCCCAACCTACGATGCCACAACTCCGTCTTTTCATCACCTTCACTCAAGGATTGGGAGATAGCCACCGTTCCCATAACCATACTGTCTTCTTAGATATAGATCCCTCTACGATTCATCTTCCTTTTCATTATAACAAGAAAACCTTTGGTCACTTTGACCCACTCACCTTCATCAGCGTACCTCATCCCATTCTTATCCAATGTGCCAAAAGAAATTAAATTCTTTCAAAGTTCTAGAACGTACCATCAATTTAACTTCCTGACCATGCCATCATACATCTTGATATGTACCGTGCCACTACCTTTGATACTGCTCACCTAATCATCACCCATCTTGACTGTACCATCCCATTATTTGAAGGAGTCGAACCAGTCACGATTATACGTCATGTGATAGGATGCTCCAGAATCCAAGACCCAAGCATCAACAGAACTTGATGTACTCACAGTCAGTACATCACCATCGTCCCCTTCATCAGAACTTTCTTGAACCACAACAACAATGTCATTGCTGCTTGATTCACTCTTGAACTTCCCATTCTTCAGTTGTGGAAAATTTCGCGTGAAGTGTCCCTTCTCCTTATAGTTATAACATTTTGCGTTCGATGAACCTTTATACTTCGATTTTGAACGTGATCTCCCTCTGTTTCCCCATTTCCTCTTTTCTGTCCTTCCTTTCCCTGTAAACAAACCGAAACTGGATACCTCCTCTCCATCTAAAACTTTTCTTTTTAGTACCTAGGACATCAGAGAATCCTTCACATCATTCACAGTGATCGTTGTCCTAACATAAAGCATAGTATCAATGAAATTCTCATATGGGTTCAAAAGAGAACATAAGAGAATGAGCGCCTGATCTTCATCTTCAATCTTCACATCAACCCCTTGTAGATCCTAGATGATGCGATTGAAGTTATCCAAATGATCTTTCACTTGAGTACTTTCATACATTCTGAGAGTATACAACCTTTGCTTCTGATACAACCTGTTCGTCAGTGAGATGTTATGGTACTTGTCACAAAGTTTATCCCAGAGCCCAGAAGCAACTGTTTGATCCACGACTGCCCTCATTACTTCATCTGTTAAGCTTAACAGAATGGCACTATGTGCCTTTGTCAGAATGTCCATCTTCTTTTCAGCCGCCATCTCTTTAGGCAGTGTTGCCTCTCCTTCCAGTGTCGCTGTACATCCTTGTTGGACCAGAAGAGCCTTCATCTTCACCTTCCAGAATGTGATGTCATTTGAACCATCGAATTTCTCCAAATCAAACTTGTGAGTAGACATCTTCAATCACAGCAATACAAACCGCAACTCTGATACCACTTGTTAGGATCACTACTAGCCCAACCATGCTCAACATAGAAGAACAATGAGGTTCCATTTTTTAAAACCAATTGGTGGTAGACGGTATTACCTATCGCCTTATATGCTAGCATATAGTTTCTCTTTTTTACCGATGTGGGATTGGGTTTGCATCCCAACAGAAGCATTACCCTATCCATCCTCATGTGTGTGTTACACAACACATTAGATTCTTCTTCTGGAGGTTCGACCCAATCCATCTTGCATATATACGATTTTCCCAATAGCCAAACAAACTTTAGTTTATTCTATTTTATTATTCATTTTTACTTATGTTTTATGAAATATATATACCGAGTATTAAAGTAAAGATTTCAATAGGGCCAAACGGAACGGGGGAAGCCTTAATTGTCCCTGCCCTTGAAATCCCTTGTTTCCATTTCCCCCACCATCACCCTGAAATTCCCCGTTTTGCCACTCCCCCCGATCCGTCCCTAAAATCTCCATCACCCCTGTGTTTCCTCCAAATCAAACCAACGTTAACCCCATTTGACTTGAAATCCCCCGTTTACATGTTTAACTGTGTTTACTCTATGCTTTAGTCATTTATTTCATTTAACCTTACATATTATACTAATTATTTAAATACAAAAGATATAATTACACTATGGTTACTTTAAGTTTAATATTTCTTTTTATAAATAAAAATAATTAAAAATAGAATAATTATTTTAGAGGGTCATGATATATTTGAGACGGGGCATCCAGCCCCCAAACCCGAAACATTGTAAAAATACATCTTGTACAGAAACAGAAACAGGGTCTCATGGACTTGGGGTCCTACGAGTGGTTTTGACATCTCTATATTAAACCAAATAGTTTTATTTGAATATGCTCGCCTCAAGAGTATATATGATTAGTTATATAAACTTTGGGCCTCCTTTTTTACACCAGCTATAAAAGAGATTAGATATATACGTACAGGATCTTGATCGATTTAATTGAAGCTTAAAATTAATAAGATTTGAAGGGCCTCCTTTCTTACGCCGGCTATAAAAAAGATTAGATTTAGACGTACAAGATCTTGATCGATTTAATTGAAGCTTAAAAATAATAAGATTTGAACTTGGGAATCATTGGTGTCCATGTATTTTGTAAAATAGTTTGAAGTTGCAACACATAATTCCTAACCCCAGCCCAAGCATTTTTACGTATTACTTGGTACAAAACACATATTGATATCATCCAACTTAAATGAATAAATGTTGATTAACTACATGCATTTTGAGAGTTCAAATAGCCCCTCCAAAACCAGCTTTCGGAAAATGGCTTGCAACAATCTAAAACCCTAGAGAAACCAACGGCTAACACTCGGCATATATATAGCAGATGGGCATACAGTATCCATTAGCCTAAAAAAGTTTTGAATTTATCAAAATCCAGCCACCCTGGCCACCCTGGCCAGCCTTGTTGTCATGTCTAGTTGGCCCACTCTTTATGGATTTCAAAAGCGTAGTTGAGCTCCAAGTGGCAGTTGTTGTCGTCATCCACAAACTGGAGATATATACAGCGTTCGTAGAAACCAATTAACGGATCGATCGATCAAAGATGAAGGCAGATGAATGATATATGATGAATTAATTACGTACGTACGTACCTTGGTTTTTGCGGAATATGATCCTCTAGCAAACATACCAGAGGGAGTTGTCTCTTCGGGCATCTCATGTTCGTAAGGCTCTGGTTGAGGGCTAAAGGTTCCAAGCATTTCTTTCCGGTGTTCAACTACAATATATATAACATCCACCATCAACAATTTTAATTAAGCCCAATTATTAACATGTATGAATCGAAAGAGAAAGAGAGTAGCTAATGTACCTACTACCTACCCTTGATACCAGTTTTCCAGACTGTGTTGGTGTATCTGAGCCCACAAACTATGTCGTTGTTGATCTTGATGCTGAATCTTAAATGGTATTTGCAGCCTTCTTTTAGGATAAACCAAGGGCGCTCCTTGGGGTTCCCAGACTCTGGGATCTCAAGAACAATATCAGGTCTACCATCAGAAACGATAGTAAGGCTCAGTATCTTCACATCTGCTTCCTCATGCTCTATATATGTAATTTTTTTTTTTTTTGAGCAATTAAAAAAAAATTTCTTATCAGCTTCATTATCAGAGATCTTGACCTAGCTAGCTACATATATATGCATGGTGACGAAATCAATTACCTTGAACATGGGCGGCATCAAGACCTCCAAGCAACTGCTCTTTCCATCTCCTCAAGCTCTCATCATCCTGAAATTAAATAACAACACACATATAATCAAGAAAAACATAAACAACGCGATATATTTACAAATCTACAACTTAACAAACACCAACCTTGTCCTTCTCAAAATGCTCTCTGATGCTCATCTTGGGACCCAATTGTATACGTATTTCATCTTCATCCTCAGTTGCATTACAAGACGAATCAGACATGTCATCGTGCCCTGAGTCCTTGTCGTCATCACCCATCTTGTCTCACAATCTGACAACGTCAAAAACCTCATCTTTTACAAACGTTTCTTTTGTCAAGACTTTAATTAAAGCATAAAGAATTAGAAAAGAAGGAAATTCAAAGTTTTTTTTTTTTAAATAATAATAATAATAAAACAAATCAAGGGTTACATTACAAAAATGGTGATCTTTAGACCTGTCAGGAATGAATTTCAATGAACGATGATGAACTAAAATTCACAAACAATAAGTCTTAAAGAATGAATAAATTGTGGATTGGTGAAGTACAGAATAATCAAGAAATTAATTAACCTCGATCTCTATGGATAAAGAAAAAGAATTCCAGCAAGTGCTGACGGGTTAGCTATAGGGTTACGCCACCGAATTTAGAAGCCTTGACGAAGGAAAAGATGTTCATGGATAGATATCACCCAGTAAAAGAAAAGAATACCAGTTTTACATAAAAGAGATGCATACGTAGTTTTGTGGAAAAATTATTGTTAGATTGAAGAAAGAGAAATCAACAAGGCCAAAAACTGTTGTATTGAACGTACGTATGGAAATGATCTTGTGGTGATCCGAATTAATCGAATAAACTGAAAACGATGCACTGAATGTCATGTCAAAGAGGGAACGCAAGATTGAGCAAAAAAATACGGGCGTTCAGTCGATTGCTGCAAGATCTTATTTTTCTTTAATTTTAATGTTATCAGATCCCCAAAGAAATAAATTGAATTCTTCAAATTTCCTTTCATAGATATAATCAGATCTTGAAATGTAAATAATGCACAAATTAACTCAATTGATAGATAAATAATGCCTAATTAACTAACTAATTAATGGAGATCTGTTATGCTGACAATAAAACAGAAATAACCAAAGTAACAATTGGACTCTTGTTCAGTTTGCAAGCTAACCAATTAAAGTATATTTTATTAGTGTTATGTTCACGGGTTAAGATGTTGTAATTTTTAATGGTCACGGACCTTTGAAAAGACAAACATAGACAACGGACCCAGATTCACACGCCACCCTAACATGCCCATTAGCCAGTATACCTCCAACTTCACTTCCTATATATAAAAGTATAAACTCCCCCCAAAATGAATGCACACAAACCAATAAAGCTAGAGAGAATTAAGATGGGAAAGATGAATCATGTTCTCCTGGGATGTGTGTTGATTATAGCAGTACTAATCGCATCAGTTAGCAGCAGCGTTGCACCAGCTAGTAGCACCATTGTTTGCAATGTGGAGATAACAGATCTGTTAGAATGTCTTCCTGCAATTACAGGTGCACACCCTCCAGCACCCACCCGTCCCTGTTGCAAGGTGATGCGTAGAGTCAACCTGCCATGTCTGTGCCGCTACAAGCCACAACTAGCCAAGTTTGGGGCCAACCCTCTAGCTGCCATGGCAGTACCGAAGAAATGTGGCATTAAAAAGACACCAAGATGCTAAATCATACCCCTACCCCAACCCACACTCTTGTTTTTGTTTAGTATTCTATGCTCTTAATCAAGTGAGCTTCTGTGCTCCTTTATGTTCATGAAATGTTTATGTCTCGTAATTGTTTAATTGTGTTGACGAAGAAATACCAAAAACAAAAAATTTCCTTCCTTAATGCGCGAGTCATGAAACAACATATTATTTATTAATTAATATGCTAATATTCGTTATTTGTTCATAATTAATTAACCAGCAAGTGATGAAACTATAAGATATCGATCGATCTTCGTACATGAAAATTGCAATATGGTGTACAATCCTATACAAACTAGAATCTTATCAAATTAAAAATACCTATATCTCTAATTATGGACAACCATACATGCTAATATAAACCACCGGGTGAGTTTAACGAGGAGAATCTGAACACTTAGATTTGGATCCAATAAGGAAGTGTTTCGAGGGAGTCCTTTAGTAAAGATGTCGATGTATTGGTTATAAATTGGAACATGAAGGACTTGAAGTGTGCCTATTTGAACTTTTACGCATATAGAATATATCTTAATCTTAACCTAATCTAGTAACAATGTTGGCAATGCTACGATATTTAGTTTCCGCACTTGATCTAGAGATAATGGATTATCTTTTGGAGGAACAAGAGTGTTCGAAATAAGCCTATGTTCACAACAAGTTAGTGACTTTTCCATAATTAGCATCAGTCTTTTGGGTTACACATAAGATGTTTTTTAAGCTAAAATGACAAAAGAGAAAGATCGGGGTTCAGTTTGTTAACACACCAAAGTTATGGTGTGATAATTTGAAACTAGTTAAGTTCAAGGTGTTATTTCTAAATATCCTTGGTTTGAAGTGTTAGTCATTATCTCTTATATTAAGAGATGATTATAAGTTAGCCAAAGTCAAGGGATAAACACCTAAGAAGGAGGAAACAAATGACACATAGAACCAACATTACATTCTCTCTCTCTCTCTCTCTCTCTCTCTCTCTATATATATATATATATATATATATATATATATATATATATATATATATATATATATATATGGGTTGAGATCGGTTGAGAACTCAAAGTTTTCCGAGAACTCGAGAACTAAAAGTGGAACATTGGATCAAAATTAATTCGTTAAGGACATGATCGTCATCTTACCAATCTCATTTGTTTAATTTTTTTGTGTTATTTAATATATTAATATAAATGTCTAAAAATTTACATCATAAATCAAATTTTCAGATTTTTCTAAAAATAGTATTTTTCTTTTTTTTTTAAATGCAGATTTTTTAATTTTTTATAAAAAACATGTATTTTTGAAAAAAAAATTGAAAAAAATATTTTTTTAAAAAAACTGCATTTTTTTTCAAAAAATCTGCAATTTTTTTTTTTTTTTTAAAAAAAACTGCACTTTTTAATAAAAAAACTGCAAGTTTTTTAAAGAAAGTTGCATTTTTTTGAAAAAAATGCATTTAAAAAAAAAAAATTTAGGTGCATATATGCATATTTTTTCAAATGCATATATTCATATTTTTTATACTATAATATTCGTAAGTAGATCATAAAGAAACTCATTTTATTTACCAATCTATAAACACAATAGAATAAGTATTTTATTCGATACAAAAAAATATTAAAAACAAAAAAGTGTACAAAATTTCAAAGCGTTTTTATGTTTTCGTGTCACTATTTCCATATTTTTCTTTAATTTATCATCTTCACCTCTTCAATATTCACCACAATTTCTTCCAAATCTACAAGAAAATTAAAAAAAATTGATTGATGCAAAAACACTCACAAAAATACAGATTAACATATGAATCACAAGCGATTCATGTATGAATTACATATGATGTATATGTGAATTAGACGTGATTTACATGTGAATCTCATGTAGTTCATATGTGAATTACATGTGATTTACATGTGAATCACATGTAATTCATATGTGAATTACATGTGAATCACATGTAATTCATATATGATTCATATGTGAGTTACATATGAATCACATGTAATTCATATGTGAATTACATATGAATCACAAGTAATTCATATGTGATTTACATGTGAATTACATGTGATTTACATGTGATCACATGTAATTCATATGTGATTTACATGTAATTCATATGTGAATTACATGTGATTTACATGTGAATCACATGTAATTCATATGTGATTTACATGTAATTCATATGTGAATTACATGTGAATCAGATGTAATTCATATGTGAATTACGTATAATTCATATGTGAATTACATGTGATTTATATGTGAATCACATGATTAAAACTAGGTAATTTTGTGAATTTATATTGAAACTAGGGAAAAGCTTGCTTTACAGGCCTGATTTGGTGTATCCAGTTTTAGGTTCATGATTTGCAATGTTCATGCTCAAATTCATTCCATCTTGTGGTAATACACTCATTCCAGGTGAATCTTCTGACATTTCCCTTGAAAACACATCAGATAAAAACACTAGTTATTTCGAGTTATTCAGATTCAATCTAAAAAGAGTTAGTACTTTAACAAATCTAAGTTCTTAATTTATGACATTCAACTTGTAGGTGAATTACCTGCTGTGAATGACCTGCATCAGCATATGCATCCAATCCATCTTCAGATGAACTATCCTTATCAGAATCTGCATAATATCAACATCATCAAATAAATATTACAAAACTACTGAAAATGTTGATTATGACTTAAGAAATAAGAATGAAATTAATATAAAAAGTTACCACTTGAAGATGAATTCGCAACATTAATCTCATTAGCCTCCTGATCAGAATTCGCATCATATGGCCTCAAAACCGTTGGTGGCTACCAAACAAAATCAGAAAACTATTAGCATTTTTTGTGATATTTTTATAAATCCTATGGATAACTTCCATAACACACCTCCCTTAAATGGATCATTGAAGATGAATAATCCATATGATCAATGGTATGAACATGTTCATTAAATGGTTTGCTTAAAGAGTTTTCTTTAATGGACATTCGGTTATCTGACCCACCAAAAATTGATGAGATCCCCCAACTTGTGCTTCCTAAAAAAAATCACTCAAAGTTATGAGTTAAATGCAAGAAATAGCAACTTATTTTCATTTATTTGTTGATTATATCAACCTACTTTGATTTCTTCTAATTATATATTTTTTAAAGTACAATGCTAGGAGATCTTTTGAAGTATAATGTTTTAATAAGAAAAAAGAAATTATAGGAAGAAATGGAAGTAAGATGCTATTTCTTACCAGATGTCGGCTTCTCAACCTCGCCAACTGGACGAGACCCAGGCTGATTATGCTGCAAAACTGAATTTCCTAAAAAAATTAGTACCAAAAAATCATATTTGTTAAACAATAATTGATTACATACAAATATGTAAAAAAAAGTACTTAGGAAAATGGAAGATGAGTTATTAGTTTACCATGTATTGTAAGAAGCAAAACATCGATAGTAGGGTCTGAATTGAAAGATTTAACAAGGTCAAACCGTTTTTCTGGTTCAACAGATCCATACAACCGCAGATATGTAACATTGTTTGTAAGCCATATAACATTTTCAATATCCCTCATTATTTACAAACACAAAACCAGTACTACTTACTTACCTTTTCATATATACATGAAACAAGTCTTTCTCGATAATGTCCAGAAGTGCCTAAAAGGATATGATCAAACAAATTAGACTGACTACATGGCATAAAGCATACAAAATATACAAATACCTACCTTATGTTGTGCAAATATGAGGACTCTATGCTGGCCAACAGTAACAGAGCCTTCAGAAGTTGACCGCTCAACACTGTATACATGAGACACGAGGTGAAACCGCGATTGGTGAAAACTGGATGAACAAGGTGGCACCACGTACAACTACCACTAAAACCGCCATCTGCTCCTCCTTCCTTATTTTGAGTTCAAAACACTCGATTCTTTGGGGAAAACAAAGGTAAATTCAAACAATTCGATGACATTTAGGACAGTAGCAGGTTCTATCGGAAGGCGACAATTGATGCCTACAAATTTGTATCTATGGCCATTTATGGTTTTTGCATCAAATTATCGTCATCGATCCATCTCTTACCCTCTTTCTCCAACTGGTAAACCAATCAATAATTGATCTCGGTTATGTTTGGATTTCAAAGAAGAATCTGATATAAGAAAGAAACAGAATACCCGATGATGCAAGTGTGTGTGTGCGAGAGTCAAGAGTTGACGATGAGAGAATTGACTTTTGAATCCAACGTATTTTGTTTATACCTGATGAGATGGAGCGAAAGAGTGGGCAGAGTTTATCTCACACGACACCTTGTACACTCGATTCATGAAAGTCTCACAGCATTCCACGAATTGAAGCCCTAGAGCCTCCGTCACCTTCAATGTCTCGTTCACCATCGTCATCAGGACCTTGATTTCACACCTCAGTGTCGTGAACGTCGATGTAGTAGTGATCGTAAACTTCATAATCAGCTATGGATGTTGACGATGGAGGGAATCGCGATCAGGTGTGTGTGAGAGAGAGAGAGACGTGAGGAATAATGAGAGATATTGTGATAGTTTTTTAAATCAGTAATTTAGTAATTAGAGAATAATAATTATTATTTGCCTAATATGCCCCTGAGATTATTTTTAAAAAGCCTAAGATACCATTGAAATTGATGATAATTACGAAATTTCCATCTTTGATCTAGGCCATTAAAAATTTTGATCTAACGCTCCACTTTTAGTTCTCGGGTTCTCGGGAAACTATAGGTTCTCAAATAATCCTTCCTCTATATATATAGGGTTAAGATCAAATGTGAACTATAAATATTGTGTGAATGTATGACCACTTGTTATCTATTGGACTAAAAAAATGAATGGTTGTAATTTGAAGGTACATGTTATTAACATAGGATAACATGTATATTATAATGCATCTAATTAATTATAAGAGTATTTTAGTCTGTTAATTTATGTTAGAAAAGGAAATCCCTTATTTATATCCTAATT